TAAAAATTATAGGCCTTGTTTGGTTTGTTTTTCAGAAAAAATTTTGGAAAAAATTCTCTACAAACAAATTTCAAAAGTAATTAAACCAAACAAATTTTTCCAAAAAAAATCTTAAAATTTTGTTTGATTACCTACTTTCCAAAATCACACTCTCTCTCTCATACATATCAAATCAATCACTTTTTTAAAACTCTCTTCCCAAAATAATTTTTCAAAACCATTTCTGAAAAAAGACAAACCAAATAAATTTTCGTACCTTTTATCTCAAAAACTACTCTACAAACACAAACCAAACACACCCATAATTTTTTTTGAAAAAAATAGTACAGAGCGTGTCCCTAGAGTGTCCCCAGCGTGTCCTCAACGTGTCCCTAGAGTGTCCCCAGCGTGTCCTCAACGTGTCCCTAAAGTGTCCCCAGCGTGTCTCTAGCGTCTCCTCAATGTGTCCTTTGCGTGTCCTCAGCTTGTCCCTAGAGTGTCCCCAGCGTGTCCTCAGTGTGTCCCTAGCGTCTCCTCAACGTGTCCCTTGCGTATCCTTGGCGTGTCCAAAGTGTCCCAGCATGTCCAACTCTTTCCAGTGTATCTGACACGTGTCCGTGTCTGACATGAATCAGACACCTGTACGTGACCTCCGAAGAGGTGTCTGTGCTTCATAGGAACTAACTTTTTTGTGGGCTTATCATAATAGCGAATTTTCTTTGAAAATAGAAATGGCTTTAACTAGTGGAGCTGTTGAAATGAAATAGTTTGGAAATTTAATACACACACACATATATTTGTGTATTTGTAGAACAGTCAATCAATGCTTTGTTCCATGGAATTTAGACATTGGTTTTTTTTATGCATTTGCTTTGCAAATAGGCTACCGTAGTTTAACCTCAAAAGCATCTTATCCTCTCTTATTTGAGATCATAAATTCTTCAATGGTTTAGAAGTGAGACTTTTTTGATTGATGACGTGTGCAGATGGAAAGGCACTTTTTGATGGAACTAGTAGTTGTCTAGCTATAAGTGCTAACGTATTTTCAATAAATTGTTCTACCTGTTCTATTTGTAGCGAAGGCAGGAATTATATTATTATCATTTGTTTTTGGGTTCAATTGAAATTTTGGTATAATAATGATGAAAAGAATGACAATACTAGCTAAAATTTGAAGAAAAATAAATAAACAAATAAAAAAGAAAAGAAAGAAAGAAAAGTGTGGCCAACAATGCTTTTTTTTTTTTATAAATTTGAGTCATGGACCAAAATCCCTTTCCCATAGCTGTAAAAGCATTAAAGATGCTTATAAAATTGCTAAGCAACAATACTAGCTAATGCTTTATTCATTTCACCTTATTCCTGTCATTTTTTTCAATACTCTTCATTATGTTGGCTGTAATTTTTGTCTTTCAAGACATCTTTTAGTTATAAATATAACTCTATATGTCTAAAATGTAGTTTTCGTTGTAATTTGTATAGTTTCAATTTGATATCCTGAGATTTTATACCATCATCTCATGTTCGAATTACCAACCTAACCATAAACAATTTTCTATCGTTAATTATTGGTCATGCATTGCTAGCCATTTTCATTTGTGCCCTTCGGAGCTGGCAGATTTAGCTCATGAAGTTATGCATTTGGTATATTATCGCTGCAAGCACTTTAAGGTTCCAACATAATTGTTAAAATCCACCTACTCTCCACCTACTTCACCCACTTAAACCTACTCCACTAAACCTAACCCACTACACCACTACCACCTCACCTACTCCACTAAACCTAACCCACTAAATCCACATACTCTCCACCTACTTCACCCACTTAAACCTACTCCACTAAACCTAACCCACTAAATCCACATACTCTCCACCTACTTCACCCACTTAAACCTACTCCACTAAACCTAACCCACTAAATCCACATACTCTCCAACATCAATCAATAATACATACAATTTATTCTCTCTCTATTTCTCTTTATACATTAAATTTTACATGGTATCAGAGCAAGGTTAAGCACTTAGTATTTTTCGCTTCACCGGCGGGCGGCAACCTCGCCTTAGCCGCCCGCCGGACCTCAACCTAGTCCGCTAAAATTCTCTACACATACCCTGACTCCGTTAATGGGTCAGCGTCACTTCAATCCCTCACCAAGTCCCTGCGGCATTCCCAGGCTCTGGGCAAGATTACTCATCCTTTCTTTCATGGCTTCAACACTCTTCTGGTGCGCATCCTTGTATGCTTCAGTGACCAAAAGGGAGAGTTTTTTCAGCTCCCAACTCCATTGCAGCCTCAGTTATCTCAGTGCGCACAGGCTGCTGGTTACCAGAAAGTGTTACCTTTATTAGCTCACCTTCACAATAGCCATCAAACTCTACTGCAGCAAGTTGTTGGTGCAAGATTGGAGGACCCCGCATTGTCCGATGCACTTCAAGCATGCCCAAATCTGACGCATCTATCTCTGCTTGCGTGTGAGGGGTTGAGATCTGTTTCAATTGAGCTGCCCCAGCTAGAGCAATGCAGACTTGATTTTTTATGGCTTGGGTAACTGCTCACTTTCCATTGTTTCTCCAAGCACTCTCGAATCATTGGTCAAGTATGGTAAGAATTTGAAGACACACACAGACAAGCTGGACCTCTCTCCATCTCTCATTATATTATATTACACCACTACCATCTCACCTACTCCACTAAACCTAACCCACTACACCACTACCATCTCACCTACTCCACTAAACCTAACCCACTACACCACTACCATCTCACCTACTCCACTAAACCTAACCCACTACACCACTACCATCTCACCTACTCCACTAAACCTAACCCACTACACCACTACCATCTCACCTACTCCACTAAACCTAACCCACTACACCACTACCATCTCACCTACTCCACTAAACCTAACCCACTACACCACTACCATCTCACCTACTCCACTAAACCTAACCCACTACACCACTACCATCTCACCTACTCCACTAAACCTAACCCACTACACCACTACCATCTCACCTACTCCACTAAACCTAACCCACTACACCACTACCATCTCACCTACTCCACTAAACCTAACCCACTACACCACTACCATCTCACCTACTCCACTAAACCTAACCCACTACACCACTACCATCTCACCTACTCCACTAAACCTAACCCACTACACCACTACCATCTCACCTACTCCACTAAACCTAACCCACTACACCACTACCATCTCACCTACTCCACTAAACCTAACCCACTACACCACTACCATCTCACCTACTCCACTAAACCTAACCCACTACACCACTACCATCTCACCTACTCCACTAAACCTAACCCACTACACCACTACCATCTCACCTACTCCACTAAACCTAACCCACTACACCACTACCATCTCACCTACTCCACTAAACCTAACCCACTACACCACTACCATCTCACCTACTCCACTAAACCTAACCCACTACACCACTACCATCTCACCTACTCCACTAAACCTAACCCACTACACCACTACCATCTCACCTACTCCACTAAACCTAACCCACTACACCACTACCATCTCACCTACTCCACTAAACCTAACCCACTACACCACTACCATCTCACCTACTCCACTAAACCTAACCCACTACACCACTACCATCTCACCTACTCCACTAAACCTAACCCACTACACCACTACCATCTCACCTACTCCACTAAACCTAACCCACTACACCACTACCATCTCACCTACTCCACTAAACCTAACCCACTACACCACTACCATCTCACCTACTCCACTAAACCTAACCCACTACACCACTACCATCTCACCTACTCCACTAAACCTAACCCACTACACCACTACCATCTCACCTACTCCACTAAACCTAACCCACTACACCACTACCATCTCACCTACTCCACTAAACCTAACCCACTACACCACTACCATCTCACCTACTCCACTAAACCTAACCCACTACACCACTACCATCTCACCTACTCCACTAAACCTAACCCACTACACCACTACCATCTCACCTACTCCACTAAACCTAACCCACTACACCACTACCATCTCACCTACTCCACTAAACCTAACCCACTACACCACTACCATCTCACCTACTCCACTAAACCTAACCCACTACACCACTACCATCTCACCTACTCCACTAAACCTAACCCACTACACCACTACCATCTCACCTACTCCACTAAACCTAACCCACTACACCACTACCATCTCACCTACTCCACTAAACCTAACCCACTACACCACTACCATCTCACCTACTCCACTAAACCTAACCCACTACACCACTACCATCTCACCTACTCCACTAAACCTAACCCACTACACCACTACCATCTCACCTACTCCACTAAACCTAACCCACTACACCACTACCACCTCCACTTCACCTACTCCTTACCTACTACACACTCACCCTCTTCTATATATAGGAATCATGAATCATTGTAATAGATATCAATACATCAATCAATAATACATACAATTTATTCTCTCTCTATTTCTCTTTATACATTAAATTTTACAATAATTAGCGCACAAACTCCATGTTCAACATGTACATAGGAAGTACTTGCTGGTCTGTGAAGATGGCTTATTTTTAAAAGGCTGAAAGCATCTTTACTGACAAGCAATCTGCTCCATAATTGTTGAACTTTTTCTTCTTTTTTTTCCCCCTTTCCCCATTCGGTTTCCCCTAAATGCAAGGTTTTCAATGAGTGCATTGTATGATAATTAACTAACAATAAGCAACATGGGATTCCAGAAGTTCTAGTTTAGCAGGAACCATTCTGTGATCCCCAACTTAGTCTTCACTTTTTGAGCAAGAACTGCCAAGAAATGTTTATCTGTTTTGCACTCGTGATCAGTTCCAAAAGCTTCCCCATCCCCTAATCCTCTCTATGACAAAATTCTTTAGTAATACTAAATAGTGACATTCAATGTTATACTTTCTACATTTGTGACAGGGACCTGATATACTGACCTTTGTTTTGTACAGATGGAAGACGGTCCATCTGACTTACAGGTGAATTCTATAAAACATGGTGAGCCAGTTGTTGAGGAGTTGCGAAGACCGATGAAGGAATCTGCTTTGGCCTCTTGTGCAGTGACTGGGTTAACCAGCTCGAGAACTGAAACTGGAGCCTCATCTGAAAGCAGTGCGGTAACTAGTAAAGACTCTTCTTTTGAAGATGGTTTAATCAATGCTGAGACAAGTAACCAACGGCAATGCTCATGTAAAAATAAAGATTTAGTTCCTCCTCAGTCAAGTGCTGATTGTAGAATTAATGAAACAGCTAGTACTTTCTATGAGGATCTGTCATCTTCAGACCCAGTTTCTGCAAATGTAAGGTCCAATATGGATGTTAGTAATGGCTTTGGTAATAGGATGGACAAGGACATGTCTCAGATTTGTGCAGAGGTTTTACATACAAGCAGTTCATCTCCCCAAGAGCTTGGAGATTCATTTAGAAATCATGTGAGTGAAGCAATGACTGTCTATAATTCTGATTCTGATTCTGATTCTGCTTCTGCTTCTGTTGTTTTGGATTCACCAGTAACTTCTCACCTGCTAAGAGATGATTCTCTTCAAGAGACCATACCTCCAGGTCTAGGATTTCTTGTTTCAGGTAGGGAACAAGGCCAGGGAGGTGGAAGTGTACTTCAAGTTGATGTGGTGAGTATATCTTCCAGCATTTTGTCACATAGTTCCACTGAAATAAGTAATCGTGAAGCAGGACAGAATAGTAGAAGACTATTCTGGGATGCTTTTTCAAGACGCAGTTCTAGAAGGCTTAGTGATTCCCAAACATTTGTTTTCTCGACTGATGATGATAACAATGATGGTCTAGGATCTCATGACAGATGGCTCCTTGATTTTAGTGGTGATTTCTTTTATGATGAGGTTGGTGGTGATTCCGGGTACATGGAAAGTAGAACTCACAGCATGAATGAACAACGTTGGCATTCAACATCTGAGGTAGGCTTTTAAGTACTCTCTTCTGACCAATACTCCCATCCATTTTGAACTGATTTTGTATTCTTTTGGCTAATGCATATCTTTTTTTGACGCATTGAGAGTAGCTCCACTCGCTGTATCTTTGTTCCTTGATGAAGCCATCATGCATTTCATACTTAATATTGGACATTATTTCATTGAATGCTTAAGATATCTCATACCTCTTAATATCCCTGCTGTAAAGTGAGAGTACAACCTTATTTTATTGGCTACATAAGTTTTGGGGACATTAGGTCTTAGATGTCTGTATACTGCAGAACAGCACCACATATTTGACTATAGGATTTTTTTACCAGCAAATCAATAATGTTTTTTTATTTTTATTTTTTTTAAAATTCATTTTTAAGTCAGCAGAATGTAGTTTTTTTTTTTTTTTCCCCCTTCACATTAGTGGTTTACCTATTGGCTTATTAATTTTGTAAACAGAATGTACTCTTTTTTTTCCCTTCACATTATTGGTTTACCTATTGGCTTTAATAATTTTGTAGTGGATGCTATATGTAGTAACACTTTTATTTACTTATTTTCTTAGGGTAATTTTACCAAGTGCTAGCTCCAAAAAATTTTGCAGGTCTGGGAAAGACTTCGTGGTGGCCATGAAAGCGGTAATCCTGAAAATAGTGTTTGTCCATCTGGGGTTCACCCTGATGGCACATGCACATGTGAATCAATATTGATGACTGATGAATCTGGTACTCGTGCAAGTATTTCACGAATAGTTATGCTAGCAGAAGCATTATTTGAGGTAATTCCCCTTGATCAGCTAGTATGCTTTATTAAGTTTGCACTGTGTTGTGGTTGTTAGCTACTCTGCTTGGCAGGCTTTGATTATTTGCTAGATCACTTGTGAAGCATGACTTATATTACTGTACCTTTTTTGGTTGATGGCAAAGATTCTGGTAGTTGTACAAGTATTTCATAGGATTTTGCTTTGTGAATACCGGTGTAAATTTCCTCCATCAAATTTGTAGATTTCTATTGGCCGCTCTTCGTTTAAAATTTTGTTGTTTATTTGTTTGTTATTTCAGTCTAATTTCTAAGTAATGGATTTTGTTTATGGAAAATACAGATAAGTCCTACATTTCCTTTCAAGGACCAATAAATTCTGAGAACATCTAATAAGACCATTAAGTCATACTTTTGCCAATTAGTTCCCACATAAGTACTTAATTTGTTGGACTTCCAGACCTTCTTGACTTGGAATTATGATGAAATTCATGTGATCTAATGTGTGATCTACGGGTATTAAGACCATTAAGTACTTAATTTTGTTATAATGTGTGATCTACAGGTATTAGATGAAATTCATCGGCAACCTTTGTCACTTTCCTTATCTATGGTCTCACTTCCGGCTCCTGAGGCAATCGTTGACTCTTTTCCTGTTAAGAATCATAGAAAGCCCGAGAAAACTGAGAGTGAAGATGATGCTGAACAGTGAGTTTCTCTTTACAATCCCACTTTGTGAACATGTGTAATATGGTGCTCTCTGTTCAAATTCATAATCATTTGTTTATGTTAACCTTTTATTTGACCATGTTAGTATGTAACAAGTTCATCTACAGGTGTTACATATGCTTGAGTGAGTATGAAGAAGAGGATGAAATACGTGTTCTTCCTTGCCACCACGAGTTTCATATGTCATGCGTTGATAAATGGCTCAAAGAGATACATGGGTAACCATAGTATTTTTACTTGCATATACTTTTTTTTTTTCCTCTTTCCCGACAGCTCATTTTCTTTTCTTTTGTTTCTCTGCTGGTGCTTCTCCAGGGTGTGCCCACTCTGCCGAGGAGATGTTCGTGAAGGATTCACAGAGTCGTCCATCGTCTCCAACTCAGAAACACCTTCTGTTTGATTAAAATGTTGTGGGTACTTGTACAGAAGGCGGTTTTGCTATGGAAATGTTGCCTTTTTATGTCTTCTGAGATTTATTTGTTTTTTTATTTCACTATACATATTCCGAAGCCTATGAAGCACAGGCACCTCTCCGGAGGTCGCGTACAAGTGTCCGACACGTGTCGGATACGGACATGTGCTGCACACGCTCCGGACATGTGTCGAACACGCTGGGACACTTTGGACATGCTGCGGACATGCTGAGGACACGTTGGGGACACGTTAAGGAGACGCTAGAGACAAGCTGGGGACACTTTGGGACACATTGAGTACTATCTTTTTCAAAAGCAATTATAATTTTTAATTTTTTTACTAATATAGCATACCTAAGGTTGATAAATTTCGTAAAATTAAATATTTGACATAAAATACATATTACATATTTAAAAATATACATATAATAAAAATATATGTTTTGAACGTGTCTTTAACGTGTCGTGTCTTGCATTTTTTGAAAATTTACGTGTCCGCGTGTCCGTGTCGTATCCGTGCTTCTCAGTCCAAGGCCATATTTGGTATCCCCTTTTTTTGTCACATATCTCTCTTATACAATTTATATGACAATTAAAGAAGTGAGATTTCTCTCAGTTAGTGATAGTTCTTGTAATTACATTTCCTGACAAATGTATTGAACTGAATTAGTTAAAATTTTAAAGGTACAAGTTACAGTGATATACTTCTTTTATTCCTATGTGATTAAGATTCTCAAAATGATGCATCATATTACAAGAATTGCAAGTTGTAGAAAAATAACAGGTGGCTAAAAGATTAATAGAAGATCGAATATAGAAATGGGGAGTTGAAGTTTTATGTCACTTGATCTGAATCTTCGTGAATTCATGGATATTTACTGCCACTGAAGTTAAATGGTATCGAGTTTTGTTTGATGTGATAAGCAGGTAATGATAATGTGATCTCAGATCACATATGAACCCAACCCAGAATTCTCTACTGAGCTTACAGTCAATACAACATGACAGCTATTACCGGTACAGGTAGATTTATCTTTTATTTTTATTTTCTATGGTGGAATAGCTTTAATTTGTTGTTTCACTAGTTCTATTCATTAAGCAACAAATTGGGATTTGATGTATGGTAAGAATAGAGGTATTGAATTTCTTGTATCTGTTCTTTTTCATTCTTCAGGGAAGCACCCAATTATTTAACTATTCTACTTTTAGGCTGTGTTGGATTTGGGTCTGGAGAGGGATTTATGGGGGGGAAATAAAAGGGATCCTTTTTCTTTTCCTTCCACAAATATCTCTCTAAACCCAAGATCCAAACACTGCTTCAGCATTCTTCATCTAGCTAGTATTGCTTAACCTTAAACCTTTATTAGTATCCATTGTTCTATATTGATCAGATCATAATAAGCCCAGGAACTGCAGTATTTTTGGGTTTGTGAAAATTAGAATTTACATTTTACATACCCAATAGAGAAAAAAAATAATTTAAAATTTAAAATTTATTTTTATATATGTTGTTTGGGACACTAATGCTGTGTTTGGTTGGGAGATTTGAGGATGGATTTGGAAAAGGAAATAGAAAAGGTAGGTGAAATATGAAAAAAAATGTCTATATTTCACCTACTTTCACACATCTTTTCCCTTTTCCTTTTCAAATCTCCCTCCCAAATCTCCCAACCAAACACAGCGTAAGTCTGGTTTGGTTATTTTTATATATGTTGAATGGCAACTACAGAATCATGCAATGAGAATGTAGGTATTTACAAAGTACAAATAAAAATATTTTTTGGTGCAGTTTCTGCGACTAGTTCAGATTGATTCACTGCGCTGATTACTCTCTGGAAACTGGTTTGAACTTACACTGAGCAAGAACTCGAGTTCTAATGGATGAGGATGTGCCCACAAGTCTGATGAACTCAGATGAGATTGGATTTACAATTCAGTTTCAGTTTCTCTCTCAGATTTTGTTTCATTCTTTCAATCAGTAATGCTAGAGACTAAGAACTCAGACACAGAAAAGTACTAAGAAAATTAGTGTGTGATCCAGATTTATTCCAAGTGTGAGCCTCATTAATATAATCTAAACCATACTATTTTTCTTGGCCTTACTGTCTTTCAATTGAACTCATTTTCTAGATTCCAGAGCACGCATGGAACTGAGAAAATTTAACTCATGCATGAATTTGAGAAATTTCACAAGCTGACACTTGCAAACAATAAATATTTTCAAACATTCACATTTATCAGTGATCACTTTAATTACCTCTTCCTCTAGAGCCTTTTTTGAGGATCTGAGTCATCACACCTGCTAGATACATTGCAGGGTTAGCTCTAATGGTATTGTTGAACTTTTTGCAGATTTCCATATGTGAATGAAGAGCTTCTTCATGTACAAGGTTGTGTACTCTCCCAAGCTTATACGATTCTTCAATTATCACTTCTGAGCAGAGTCCACACACCCATTTACCGTAGAACCGAGCTCTTATATGCTGAATGTAGGCCCTCGTGCAGTCCTCAGATATGCCGCAGCACTCGCACTCGACCTCCTTGATATCGTTTGTGGACGAAAGTTGGAAAGGAATCCTCAAATCCATGTGTTTAGATATGCCCATCTCTGAAGGTTTGTCTGAAACTTCTCTTTTAAATATATCTAAGGATAATCTCCTTGATCTGGTTCTTGATGCCATTGCTGGTTCTTGTGTGTGTGTGTGTAGGTCTTGGGATTGCTGGTTGTGTAGATTTTTTGCTATAAATAGATATAGGCCAAGGGAACTATGAAGTCTATACATGTAAAGGTCATTTTCAGATATCCATAAAACTTATGAGAAAGTAAAAAAAGGCACAACTTGTATAGTTAGTGGCTTAGATAATTACTTTAGGAAAATGATCTACAGACAGAATTCTTATACAAAATGTATGGCAATAATGACGTGGCAATGATATTCTTAAAACTAGAAACCATTCTGATGAGTTTTGATTTTAAAAAGAGATTTAGTTACCACATAATTTTTGTTTAAAATTCTATATGAGTTTTCTATTTGCATTGACTACGCTTAAAAACAAAAGGCTCCTGAATTTTTTGTTGTTTTGTTTTCCAAAGCACGAACAACGAAACCAAACCAAACCAAGCCTAGTCTTAAGTCCCATCAAATGGGGTTGGCTATATAAAGCTTTCTTCTCCACTCGACTCTATCTAGGGGTGTAACTCAGGTAGGTTCGGTTGAGTTGGGAGGTTGCCCAAGCCCAGCCCAAGTTGTGCTAAGATCTGCCTAGGCCCGTCCAGGCCCGAATTGTAACCCGAGTTTGCTTGTCCAAGCTTGACCCGAGTCAAATCCGAATTGCCTGAGTTGTAAATATATACATATATATATATATATTTTTTGCAGCTACATTATTTAATTATTAAAATTTGATTTCATTTATATTTTTTTATATAGAAAATCATTAATACCATCAAAATAAATAATTTATATAATGTAAGAGAGATGTAGTCTTTATAATTTATGAGTAAAAATAAAAAAAAAGTAAGAGTTTATGTTATTTGTATATATAACATATATTTAATATGATTTAATAATTTAAATTACTTTAATATCATGTAATGGTTAATAATTTATATATATATATTTAACATTGTTATATATCTATATATGTATAATTCGGGCCTTAGGTTGCTCGGATTGTTTGATATCTTTACCCAAACCCGTCCAAATTTAATTCGGATTTCTAAATTTTTTTCCAAGTCCGTACTGAATTTGAAAATATCTTGTTCAAGCCCTAAAAAAATTCGGGCCTAGGTTCGTGTTGTTCGGGTTGAGCCCACCCAAGTTGCACCCTTAATTCTATCAACGGTCATTTGATTAGTCAAAGCATGAACAACAAAAACAAAAAAATAGAAATTAGGAAAACAAAAAGTAGATAGTTGTTGGTTGGTAGTGATCACAAGTTGGATAACTGTCTCCTTGCATTTCGTCAACAAATAGTTGGCTAAGAATTTGAAAGGTAGTCTCTATCTGTATGGGATTTTTTAGCACAAGTGGTCTGTAGTTTATGGATACACTTATGGCTAGTCTTTGCAGATTGTGCTTTTGATGGTTACTTGATATAAAAAAGATGGGCCAGTGTCTTAGTTTCTCATGTGAATCTCTCTCTCTCTGTCTCTCTCTCTCTCCATTTGAGTATTCATTGCAGGGATTGCAAAAAAAAACCCGACCTAGTGCCATGGGTGGGTAATTTCAACCTGATCCAGTTAGGGGTCTTTTGGTTTTACAGCACAAAATGTACTCCTAGTTTATTCTTTCTCATATATATATACATATTCATTAATGTATTGATCATATAAAATGGTTTCTATCTTTTTTTCATTTTCATGTACTGTGCATTCTCACTACAGAATAGGATTCTCTGCAATACTTTCTTGCAATAATAAGAATGATTGTGCTCATCATAATTGATTGTGTTTTGAACTTAACCTGCTTGCTTAAATTAGTATTGCAAGATTATTATAGATAATCAAATTCTGTCTCACTATGTATTGGCTATGTTTGGTTCAACTTTATTATAAGGTAAAATTAGGAAGCAGAAGCCAATAACATCTGTCCGCTAAATAATCAATTTTATTTAAGCTATTTCTAACTAATAAGTTATAAGTAAAAGTTGCACTAAATAATTTGATACCGACTCCTAAATTAAAATTAACTATAAACAACTCATTTAAACTGTACCAAATAGCATTATTATTAATGTCCATCAAAAAGTTTATTTACTATGTGAAAAGGACATCACTCATTTTTTCAAGTAACCATGTAATCAAAGTTGTTCTTCTAACCATAAAACTTTGATTAATAATCCTATCAAATTAGTGTGGTATTAACTATCCCACCCCTACCCCATTACTAATTATCCTACAAATTTGTTGGATTAATTATCCATTGGATTAATAGTCCTAAACCAAATGTCAAAACAAACATAGGATGGTTGGGCCCACGGATTAATAATCCTAATCCCATACTTTAATCCTTCCAATCAAACATGCCCTTAAAGTTTTCTGCCAATTTGTTACCTGATTTTACCTTTAATTTGTGTTTTGCGTCAGAATGATTTAAATTATAACACGAGCCTAATTCACATTCTCTCACACAACAAATTAAAATCGCTGATTTTAATCCTATGCACTTCATTACATCAAATCCCTCTCTGCAACATCATCGGACACCACAAAATTCAAAACATGAATCACAAATGGCTTAACTTTTCTTACTGTTCAACTTTTTGTTAAAAAAAGTCATAATATTAATGACAATCATTAAAAAAATCGTAATTAAGAGTTCCCTTACTATGTGACCTCCCTAATTACACCATAATAATCCTAACTTTTATAAAAAAAAAATTCGTTACTTTTTTATGATAAAAATATATAGTAAGTGACCTTTTCCATCTTATTTTTCATGGAAATAGAAACAATAATGTGTTTGAATTGGAGGTAGATAGAAACTTTATCAACAACACTAACAAAAGAAGTGGCTTTCTACTATTTTAGTTGTGAGTGTATAGGTAATTGTCCATTTATCATATTTCTCTTGAAAATGGAAATAACATCACCGTATCCTAAAAAAGTGTAGGCACATTTAATAGATATTTGTACTTTACTTTGTTTCAAGAAAAATGTTAGGAATTTTAAATATTTTATTAAATATTTTACATGGGTGTAGAATTCATATTGTAGGTTTCATGTGGGTCCCACACCATATGAGACTTTTAGTAGAACATTTGGTAAAACATTTGAGATTTTTAACATTACTCGTCTCAATACCATTTTTCATCAAAATTGAAGTAAAATATTTGGTAATTTAATTTGGTATTAAAAGTGTATGTATTCAGTAAAAATAAATTATGGTGGTATTAAATGCACCAATTAGTGTATTAACTAGTGCACAAACACTAGTTATGACATTATTATTAATCCCGCTCATTATACAAATTACAAATAGTAAAAATCTTTTAAATTATGTTACATCATCAATTAATACACAAGTTAGTACACTAATTAATGCATATAACATTATTTAATAAATTAAGATTGTTTGATAATTGGTTAAAGATATAAATGATTCTGAAGTATACGTCATAGTATGCGTCATATATCATTTTGATCTTTAATATTTTAAATATACCAATTTAATTTCCCAACGTATTAATTTTGTCATTAAATGGTCTTTACGTTTGTTTTATCTACAGTCGATAAGAAAATGGAAATAAGGGCAATTAGTAAATGGAAAATCCTAGAGAGCCAGAACTTGGGTAAAAAAATAAACCCAGAAAACAAATGGGTGGCTAAGATTTGATTGTATATTAAGAGTTCCACTTATAGATTGAATCTTAACCAATACATTGATAATTCTGGGTCCAACTCTAGAAATAATATTGGATTTGTAGTACATCTGTTAGTAAATTTCAAATTTCAACTTTTTTTTTACATATCAATCAATTTGATTGAATTCAACAATTAAATTTCATTAAATATTAAATAGATTTTTTCTTTTTTTTTTCAAGATTCAGTTCTTAATTTTCAGTTTTAAATTTAAATTTTCATTTTATCAAATAACTAGAAGACCAATTATTTTTTCAAAAAATAAATAAATAACATTTTCACTCCATTTGAGAGAAGAATAAAACTTGTATTGATTGATGTATGCTTCATCAGCAATTTTTCTATTGTTGCATGATCATATTCATCGCCACAAATGACTATCCTTTTTTTTTTTTTAATTTGCAAATGACTATTCTTACTCAAACCAATTTAGATTAGATATATAAATCACCCTCACCATTTCTTATTTGACAAACACAAGTACAAATTTATGCAAACCCACTCTTTAACTAGAAGAAGGTTTTTAAGATAGGTTTATTTACTTATTTTTAACAATTGATACTCAAGAAAAGGGAGAAGAGAACATCTGCATTGGTAATAGTAAAACTCAAATCCAGTGATTACCCTGGTAAGAGAACACCTCATCCATTAAGTCAACAACTCAAGTCTTTATTGCGATAACTACTTCGCCAAACCAAAATTTTACAAAGCAAAGAAGAGGAAGAACACTATTGTATAGATTTTCTTAGGTAAATTACTTTATTAGTCCTAGTTTGAGTGATTTGATTTTGATCCTCCATAATTTCATTTTTATTAATTTGAATCCTAAAATTTTAATTTCGTTTCAATGTAATCCCTCCATCAGTTGTCATTACCACTTTAGATGAAAAAACATGTGCAAAACTAGAGAGACCAAAATAGAATTTATAAGAAATTATAAGAACCACAAGTGTAATTTATTCATTTTTTTTTTACTTATGCGGGAATTGTTAAACGTCGCACCAGACATGCACGTGGTTTTTTTTTTGTTCAAAATGCTAGGGCCAATTGTCATAGAGACCACATTTAAAACAAAATTAAAAGTGTAAAGTTTAAAGTTTAAATTAATGAAATTGAAACTATGAGAATTGAAGGGAAAATTTGCTTTCAAAGGTAGAATGGAGTGGACTCGTAGTGAGGAGATTGATAGTGAGGGGATTAAGTAAGATTGTACATACAAAAAATACAAAAAAATAAACATTAATATTTTTTAAAAAAATGCCCAACATGTAAGAAATAAAAATAAAAATAAATAAAAAATAGTCTGACAGACTATTTTTTAATACCAAGTCCCAAGCCTCCGTCTTAATCCACTCCCCAAGGTCCATCCTAGTGGGATTATGGATCCCCTCTCCATCTGTCAAAATAAACACAATATTAGTAAATCACATCTCCATCTCAATCCTAATCCCCTTTTTATCTCCCAAAACAAACGGACCAGAGGGATCAATGCTCTTATTTATTCTCTATTTTTTTTATTTTTTTTATTTTCTCAGTTCAAAATTTCCTTTCTGCGGCAAGGGCAGTGAGCATTGGTGTGGCGACATGGGACCAAGCACCTAGAATGGAACCGGTGGGTGCATGGAAGGTGAACTAGGGTCTGACCATTCTTGAAATGTTCCAAACAAATGGCACACTCTTCTTGGCCTTCTGAGCCCTTCCACCCCAACTTTGCCCAACTCATGAACCTCCTTGAGCCCACTAGTGTTTTCTTCGATCCAAACACCTCTTTTTCCAAATCCCTTGTTGCCATCATTGTTCTTCTTCCCTCCATACACCTCAATTTTTTCGGCTATTATTCCTAAATTAAAAAAATAAATAAATTTAAAAAAATTGATGATTCAAAATAAGTACTTCTTGTATAACAACTCCGATCTTTAATCTCTTTTTTTCATCAAATTTAAGTAAAAATTTTATTAAAAACTTGATAACAAAGCTTAAGACTTGGCTTGAAAACTTAAAGAATTTAAAAATATGTTTAAATTTGACTTATTTACATAATGAACGGATCTCGAAGGAGCTTTTAACGTGTCGAACACGAATCGAACTCAAGTAATTGATTTTTTTAGTGTATATAAGTTTATCAAGTCGAGTAGTAAGTTGTTCAAATTTCACCTAACAACTAAATGAATTTAAAATTGTGTTTAAATTTGACTTATTTACATAACAAGTCAATCTCAAATAAATTTTTAATGAACCGAACATGAGTTAATCTCAAGTAACTAGGTTTGTTTAACAACCTTACTTGATAATGATACGAAACACTCTAATCTTACTCTTCTTTTATATGAAATGTTTTTGAAAAATTTCAAACTTATCCTAAAAATCTATTTTAAATTTTTTATGATGATATACCATTTCCGACTTTTACTCTTTTTAAAAATTCATCAAATTTGAATAAAAATATGATTATTAATTTCATCCTTAGTTTTGATGAAGAGAGCAATTAAAAAAAAAACACTTTATGCTTCAAAATGAGCACTTCTCACATTTCATGGAACATTAAGGTCAATGCAAGCAAAAATCATAATGAAAGACCTCCAAATTATTGTTGGGATTGGCAAGTTTTGTGCTCAACTACATAAATTCTGTGTTTTTCTCTTTGATGTAGTATTGTAGATGTGCTTTCAATCCCAACAATGATAGAATTTGTAAGAAATTGTAAGAACCAAAAGCGTAATTTATTCATTTTTCTTACTTATGCGAGAATTGTTAAAAATATTTTATATCTTTGACTGCGGCTTCACTAGCTGTTTGCAAGTGTTTTACTTCTATTTTTAAGACATTAATTTCCACTTTTAAGGATAGAAGTTTAGCTTTACCCGTAACAGGATCTTCTACCTTACATCTCGTATCCATCAAGCCACCTTTAGAGGTTACTAACTTTAAGTTAAAAGCCTCTAATACAGAATTTATGGACACCCTTTTACAGAAAATGCAGACATTGAATGTCCGCCCTCCAGAACCCATTCCACCACCACCTGGACAATCTAGTGGCTCAGTCCAGATGCTTCGCGCTGAGTCCACACCTGACGACAACCTATCACCTGACCAAATTTATGAAATTCAAATGAATTTCCAAGAACCCTCATCTGTTAATAAACTGCATTCGTATAGTTCCTCTAGACCTACTATGTTACCACCTAGTAGGAACTATTACGCTCGACCAACTCCTCTTGATGTTCTCTATGAAGAGACCTACATCAATGACCAGGGAAGCTATCATGGCAAGACTATCTATGAATGGAATATAGGTGGTGAATCCGAATACGGCATTTATAAGAAATTACATCAGATGCTGATGTATGCAACTGTTTGTCGCCAGTATAGTAACCAGGATCAAGCCATTGCTAAATTTATTATTAATGGTTTTACCGAACAACTTAAAGGATGGTGGGATAATATCCTCACCCTAACCCAACAGTTAGAAATTCTTAATTCCGTTAAAGTTGAAGTTGATCCAACTACCCATCAACCTGTCCACCAGCAGGATGCTGTTTATACTCTCATCAAGACCATTATTCTTCATTTTGTCGGTACCGGTACTTCTTCTCAGGATCGTGGCCGCGAATTACTTCAGAACCTTCGTTGCCCTTCTCTTACCCATTTCCGTTGGTATAAGGATGTTTTCCTCATCAAGGTTATGCAACGCCCTGATGGTAACAGTACCCATTGGAAAGCCAAGTTCATTGATGGCCTTCCTACTCTTTTCGCCGAACGCGTTACGAAAAAACTTCGGGACCGCCATGATCGGATGTCTATTCCTTACGAACAGTATACTTATGGACAACTTTGCTCCATCATTACCGATGAAGGTCTTTCTCTGTGTAATGACCTTAAATTGCATCACCAAATGAAACAACAGAATCTTACAGGACGAAAAGAATTAGGCGAATTTTGTGAACAGTTTGCCTATGAACCCGTCATTAAATATCGAGGAAAAACTCGTAAGATTTCCCATAAGAAATCCTCAAAACCCTTAAGAAAAAAGTCACACAAGACTAGTCATCTGCAAACTACTAAGAAGTTTTATCCTAAAAAATCAACCAGTAAACATAAAGGCAAAAATAAATCAGAAGTAAAATGCTACAAATGTGGCCAAACCGGACACTATGCAAACCGTTGTAAATCAAAAGCCAAATCTAAGGTTAATGAATTAAATCTTGATTTAGGCATTAAAGAACAGATCATTCAAGCTCTTGAAGCTGAAGAAAATTCAACTGACGAAGAAACCCCTTCTGAAGATGAAATTAATTAGTTATACCCCACTTCAACTAGTGAAGATGAACCAGAAGAAACTTGCCCTTGTACTACTAACCAGAAACACATATCAGAAATTAATTATTGGAAATCAATTGTTGAAATGAATGGTTTACACTTAGGTGAACCCAGCAGTATTAATGTGTTAACTGATACACAAAAGGATATGCTTGCTGTTGCAGATCAGATCCAAGATCCAGAAATGAAACTAAAATATTTAAAAATGTGTTATGAACATCAACAGACAATACAGGAAACTCCTCCTATACCCGATTACTCCTATAATCTCCAAAATGTAATTAACAGAATTCACAAAAAACCTATTTTAGAACAACCAACTACAATCCAGGATTTAAAAATGGAAATTAATGTCTTAAAAACAGAAGTAAAACACTTGCAAACAGCTAGTGAAGCCGCAGTCAAAGATATAAAATATCTTTATACCCAGTTACCAAATAGACCAGCCAAAGAAAAAGAACCAGAAAATAAAACTAAATCTTCAATAACACCTTATCTGTTATTAGTCAATCAGGTAAACCTTTCAGAAATGGTATATTAAAATCTCTTTTATGATTAAACCCGATTTTATCATCAAAGATGCTATTGCTTTGGTAGATAGCGGAGCAGATATGAACTGTATCTAGGAAAGAATAGTTCCTACCAGGTATTTTGAAAAAACCACCCAGAGTCTCACTAGTGCTAGTGGTAATTCTCTCCAAATCAGGTATAAAATTCCAGAAGCTTATATTTGTAACCAAGATCTCTGTCTTCCAGCTTCATTTGTTCTTGTCAGAAATCTTGCTACAAATATCATCTTAGGCACTCCTTTCCTCTGTCTTCTTATGCCTATTCAGAAAATTGACCAAACCGGTATTTATTCCCAATTACAAGGAAAATCAGTCATTTTTGAATTTATCACTCAGCCGTATACCAAAGAATTAGATCAGATTAGGGATCTAGTTGCTTTTAAACAAAACCAGATAAATTTTTTACAAAAAGAAGTTCAATTTTTAACAACAGAACAAAGATTGCACCAACCCTCTTTACAACAGAAAATTAATTAATCGAAAAAGAATTTCAAACAGAAGTTTGTAATGATGTTCCAAATGCTTTTTGGGAACGCAAAAAACATACAGTCACATTACCATATGAACCAGACTTTGATGAAAAATATATTCCCACTAGAGCTCGTCCTAGCCAGATGAAAAAGAAATATATGGAATTATGCAAAACAGAAATAAATAATCTTCTCACTAAAAAAATTAATCCGACCTAGTCACTCACCGTGGAGTTGTACCGCTTTTTATGTAAATAAAAATGCTGAAATTGAACGAGGAGTTCCACGCCTTGTAATAAATTATAAACCGTTAAATGATAAATTAAAATGGATTCGCTATCCTATTCCGAATAAAAAAGATCTTTTGGATCGTCTCCAGGATGCAATTATTTTTTCTAAATTTGATCTTAAATCAGGATATTGGCAAGTCCAAATTGCAGAACAGGATCGCTATAAAACAGCTTTTACAGTACCCTTTGGGTATTACGAATGGAATGTCATGCCATTTGGTTTAAAAAATGCTCCATCAGAATTCCAACATATCATGAATGATATTTTTAATCCGTATACAGAATTTACTTTATCCTATATTGATGATGTCTTAATTTTTTCCTCATCAATTGACCAGCATATTAAGCATCTTAATATTTTTAAGAATGTTATTATCAGAAATGGTTTAGTTATTTCTGCCCCAAAAATGCAGTTATTTCAAACCACTATCAGATATTTAGGTCATAATATTTCTAATGGTAGTATTATACCTATTAACCGAAGTATGGAGTTTGCTTCTAAATTTATTATTAATGTTGCCATGATAGCTTCTCTGGTCATTGATGTAGGTCTCTTCATAGAGAACATCAAGAGGAGTTGGTCGAGCGTAATAGTTCCTACTGGGTGGTAACATAGCAGGTCTAGAGGAACTATACGAATGCAGTTTATTAACAGATGAGGGTTCTTGGAAATTCATTTGAATTTCATAAATTTGGTCAGGTGATAGGTTGTCGTCAGGTGTGGACTCAGCACGAAGCATCTGGACTAAGCCACTAGATTGTCCAGGTGGTGGTGGAATGGGTTCTGGAGGGCGGACATTCAATGTCTGCATTTTATGTAAAAGGGTGTCCATAAATTCTATACTAGAGGCTTTTAACTTAAAGTTAGTAACCTCTAAAGGTGGCTTGATGGATACGGGATGTAAGGTAGAAAATCCTGTTACGGGTAAAGCTAAACTTCTATCCTTAAAAGTGGAAATAGCTTCTTCAATTCTGGTTAGTTGTTTACTCATGGTTTGACAGATTAAATTGGTATAATTATGTTGTTTAACTGTTAAGCCTAAATCGACTAATTTAATATAATCAGTTTTGGCAAATTTTCCTGATTGGGCATCTATATATGCTGTGGCTAATAAGGGTTGACGGGTAGTCTCACCATTAGGAGCTAACTCTAGTGCTTGAGGTGGCGGATGGATAGCATTGATAGCTTGTCCTTCGGTTGTGGTCCAGGTTTTGTACTGGTCCTCAATAGCATTTAGTTGAGGTTGACTAACTGTTTGGTACCATTCTACGAAAGGTATTAATTTCTGGTAGAACTCAAGGTGTTGGTAATATTGAGTTTTATATTCTATTAACTGGTCAGGATTATGATTAGTAAAATACCAATCTCTAAAGTCTTTATATTTGTCCTGGTTTAATATTTTTCGATTTTCACTTCCTGGTGTAAAATCCATTAAATTTCAAAATTCATATCACTGGCCGTTGGGCTGTCTGGTGAAGGTGTTGTATAGACACCATGAAGAATTCTGTTTTGGGATAATCAGATTCCTTGGATTTCTGCATTCATTGGATCTTCCTGTGGATCACTAGGTGGTCTACTAGGAGGTCTAGAAGGAATCTGTTGTAGAAGAGAGTCAACG